CTTCTCCGAGACAGGTATTAATCAGGCAGACATTCTCCTCCACTTGACAGTTTTCACCGATGGCGCAGGCACCAATCAGCCGGGCCGTTGGATGGATTCGAGCGGACCGAGAGACGTAGCAGGAGGGGGAGATGGCAACTGGTGGGTGACAAACCTTCGTGAAGTGGCTGAGCAAGCCTTCGGACAAGCGAGCTAGCGAATCTGTGCGTAGATAACCCGGTGGCTGTATTATGGCACTGCCCAGGCGAGTGAGAAGACGGGGTGTAATATCAAGGAGGTGGGTGAGATTTGGGGCAGCAGGAAGGACGACCTTGTCAGGGCGAATGAAGTCTAGAAGGATGGTGTAGTTCATAATCTCTTCGTTGGTCAACACCCCCTGCACGAAATCATCCATAGAGTCGTAATCGAAATTGTCCTGAAATTGAAAAGAGGAATTGATAACGAAGAGTTGGCATAAGAAGGCTTAGCCCGAAAGGGAATGAAAATACCAGCAAGGGTAAAATTGCCGATGGTATTTAGTCTCCAGTCCAAGAGAAACTGAAAGCATATAAGGTCCGAGAGCAAAGACAGGGATCGGGTTAGGTTATCTGGCACTGCCAGGCTATAAAGCAGCAGACGCCGAAGCTAAAGTTGACAAGGGCTAATTTGTCGAAGACTGGCTTTGAAAGACGCTGCTCTTTTCCATCTAGCTTGGCCTGACTGAGAAAATGAGAAAGCAGTTAAAATGCCTTTATTTGCACTTAGATCAACTTTATTGTCAACTTCCAGTTTTGTTGCTCTAACGACCATCGCGCTGTAGTCTAAAAGAACTGCCGACAGCAAGATGCATTCAACAAAAGATGAGTAATCATAGTTAAACTTTGGTGTACTGCAAAAAATGGAAAAATTGTGAAGACCAGTTAGCGATGCATTTTCGTCAGACCATTAAATTTATCTGGGAAGGGGGTATGAGTTAAAATATGCGGCCAATAATGTTCATCTTTTCGTACAACTTAGTAGTGGGAACAGGGGGGGGCAGCTAGTTAAGTGGCAGGGAGGGTTTGGTGGAGCCGTTCCAGAGAGGAAACGAGAAAGATAGAAAGGGCGCGGAGGGTACATGCAATGAAGCCACCGTTGGCCATGCTAGGCGCGGAGTTTGCAGAAGATTTGTCTGTACTGAACCAAAGAGAATTTGTCAGAAGCACACACATTTTCGCCAACTGGTTTTTTAGATTCTTTGATGCAAATTTTTCCAACTTGTCAACTCAAACACTCGGCAAAATCCACCATTTTTTAAAAACACATCGCTCCCTTAGCTCGGAAGACGAGGATATCAAATAACTCGCCCAATAAGCTGGGGTTGTAACGACAGTTTATGCTTGGAGCATGAGATAACAATGCAGGAAACCATAGGTTTAACACTGGTTTGGAAAAGAAGTATTCTGACCGTGCGAGCGCCTTATTTCCCAAAGGTTACCTCATGGAGTGCTCTAACTGTCCGAATTACGGGCAATGGTAGCGGCCTGTTGCGTTTTCAAAAATTTCGTACATACAACGTCCGTTTCGCAATTATATGGGGCAACTCAATCAAACCAAAGCAGATGGACCATGAAAATTAGCACGATATAAGTATCGATTGATTTGCCCCCAAATGGCAGGCGTCGCTGTCGTAACCGAGAAGTCGAATACAGAGCCAAGATTGCCCAATTAGGAATCGGTCGCCGCCGTCCAGAAGACTTTTTCTAACAGCATGATCTTCCGATTTCCTATATTCCGTTTTCAAAAGGGTCTACGTAGTCGTGGAGCTTAATCTTATGCCTCTACAATGAGTCCCTTTTTATCCACCGTCTAAATCACGGATACTGATAGGTAAAAATATAATTTTACGCTTCTTAAGCACCTGCAATATTTTCTATAGGAATAAAACAGCGCAAAAGGCCGCTATTATTACCAAAGAAGAATAAACTCGATTACTGTGGAACTGGGAACGTAAAGGTAGTGAAATAGACTACAATCATATTGACGGAGAGAAGAGCCAACTGACCTGAAAGAGGGGCGGTACGTGACCGCTACAGAGCAGAATTTTAGGATCCAGTAGGCGCGATCGGATCTCAAAAGATTTGGCCTTCATCGATGGCCGAAAGAGGTCACCACTACAGGTAATTGGTACATCCCGATCGTGGCGAACAAATTGGACCAGTTTTCGGCCAGGCATGGAGTAGACCACCTGGAGGCGCTCTGTGTCTGGGGGCGCGAATTGAGGCAGATCAGCGAGTACGAGGTTCATTACAGTGGTATACATTTCAGAGCTACGAAGTGCCTTGAAACGCGCCAATAGGGCACCCAGATTGACATCGCAAACGAGATCCGCGGGAACGACAACAAACTCCTCTACACCACGAAGCAACTGATTTACTTCCAGGTCCCGCATCACATCTCCCATGCATCGGCTGCTAGCTCCATTGAAGACACTTACAGAGAGCTTTGGCACGCGCTTGGCATAATTGTTGGCTTCCACAAAGGCACTGATCTGATCAGCATGCCGACAGGCATAAATGATTATATTTAGGAAGCCATCGCAAATGAGTCGACTGAGAGGGAAGTGGAGGAGAGGTACGTTCGCCAGAGGAAGCAGACAATGCGGAACATGGGAAGTGAGCGGCTCAAAGCGACTGGCAATGTCTTCAGCAATTATAACTGCCGTTGGGGGCACCTCATCTCCTTTTAAGACGCCGGTAGCGGCTGAACCGCCTTTTCTGGCGTCTTTCTTGTTCTTTGGTGCCATTTACTGCAATGGTAAAAAGACTCTGTATGTAAAGAGAGACAAGGCATGCTTTGCAGTTTTATAGCAGCAGTAGCAGCAAATAGCAGTAGCCTGGTAGAAAATGAAAATATGCAACTAATTTTTTACATAAATGTAGGCATGGGGATTTCATTTATAAAGGCGTAAAAAATAAACTAAAATTCATACTGATTGGCTTTCAATACAAGCTGGAACACAGGCATCCCGTTTTCGCTTTCACTTTTGGTCGACCGCCCCACACAAACAGTCGCACAAATATGTTAAGAGAATGATCGATAAGCATCGTCAGCAAAAAGACTGGAGACCACAATTACTATTTGGAATTATTTTTCCCTCCTATGTGACTTCGGAAATACGTGCAATAAAGTAGCATTTTTTCTCGACAGTGACTGACATAAGCGACTAGGAGGTTCAGCTCAAAAACAATAATTCCATCGTGTACGCTCAATGAACTGAATCTATTGTCCTGGTTAGTCGGTCTTGCAACTTCATCTAAGTAGTCTTTTTAGGTTAAGGCGTTTCCGGAAACTTCTTAAATGTTTTGTGTCTCAGTGCACATTGAAGGAGTCAGTAAGTTAAGCACTCAAAACCAAAAAGTTCGTAAAATTGTTTTTCCAGGATGCGACCAGAATCTGTGACGCGGGAAGTAAAGCCGGGTTAGTATCCACAGTTGCTTACGAGGTTGCTATTGTTCCAGAACATGTTACTGACAAAATCCAAAGATAGTGGATCCAACTAAGGAATCCAAGCTTCTTATCGCGGCACTTGCCTGACTCCTGGTACTTTTAAACAGCTAACCACGACGCTTTCAGCGTTAAATAAAGTAGAAAAATCTAACCGAACTAGGGAGGGCGCGCCTCTGTGATTGAAAATTGTTAAAGCAGATTAACTACAGGCGAATCCACCAATGTATTTTTAAGGATGCAGTTGGGTGAACTGGTGCGGAGGATTCCGCGAAAATATTTTTTCTCATGCTTTACTTGATAGTATGGAGTTCGTAGGCATATCATAAAAATGTGGAGCAATCGTTTTTTTAAATAGGCATCTTAGTTTTCCGAATGGTCTTTAAATACAGTGCATCACGCATCGGTCTGGTCGGTTACTTCCGAAACCCTCGCGCAGAAACTGACGAACTGGTGCCAGAGGCACAAATATTCACATACATACAGTCGCCGCGTGGGCTTACTCAGGCACATGCGTCTCTAGGCTA